AAACAGATCTGGCCTAATTATCAACCTGGAAGGTCTACGCTTGGTATTGGCTCATTTTGGTATTGGGTCGTCTTTGTAATCAGAGCCCTGATCAATTATCGGGTCACCCTTGCAACCAGAACCCATTTTTATCTATTGGCTCGTTTCAGTTTTGGCTTGTTTTTGTAATCAGACTCCCGATTAACTATAGGCTCACTGCGGCAATCAGAGTTCAGTCTATCGATTGGCTCGTTACTGTAGACCGAGCCCTGAAAATTTATTGACATGCTCCTGAGCAGACCCTGATTCATCTTTTGTACTCATTCTCCTCTCCTTTTGGAAACCCTTTTACTTTGGTGGGGCTGGTACTTTCGAAAGTCGGCTGTTTTTGTGGAAAGTCAAAGAGTTGTTCTTTCAGAATTCGTTGATGATATTCTGCATTGACAGTGAGCCCACCTCTAATCAGAAAGGCATCGGTCTCAACATATAGATGAGGGGTGAGACAGGCGGCTCAACCCCGACAACCCCTGCCTGCCGCTGAGGACCTCTGACGAGGGCGCGGCGAAGTGACAGGCGCCGTAGCCCATGGCTTCAGCGAGCGGTAGGTAGCCCCTCCCCGGGTTTCCTCACAACGTGACGGCTGTTCAGCGATCACCCAGGTCTCCAGCGCCGCTGCGGGAGGCTTCAGGGAACAACAAGGATCCTCCGAGGCAGCAATTTTGGTCGCCGTCTGTGTGTAGGGCTGCCTCCGCTCGCCCCCAGTGGATGCAGTCTCCGTCTCCCCTGTCCGTCGGTTCGAGTTCAGGCCGCCGTGTTGGCGAGTGTAGGGAGACGGCACGTGGCATTGCTGATGTTGGTGACGCACGTGACGGAAGGGAGGTGTGGGCAGAACAGCGACGGTTGATGAGGTCGGGGCGGGAGGAATCCATAACTCGGGGGGTGCAGCGATTGCGTGTTGGGGAAGACGGGCACGATGGCGAGGACGCAGTGGGGGACGCGCACGACCCCGACTGGAACGACAACGGCGCTGAAGGTGGGGAGGACGACGCAAGCTACATTTCGCCGTCGACGCAGGCGGCCACTATGTGAGGGAGGGGCGGGAAGACGAAGTCGTGTGGCGGCAATGGTCGTCGGGGCAAAAGGACGGCAGGCAAGGGCAGCGATGCCGAAGGTGACGTCGATGGTGAGGTCGTTTCTTCTGGTCCGTCGACGACATTATAGCCTCATCCGGGCTAAACGTGATCAGGATGCGCATTTGCAGGGGATGGGCCACGTGTACGCTCGGATGAAGCCACGAGAATGGAAGTGGCTCGATGTGGCGACGAGGTTGAAGAAGGTGGGCGTCGAAAGAGAGGCCGATTGGTGCGGGAAGAAGTGGGACAATCTGATGCAGCAGTTCAAGAAGGTTCATCATTTCCAAGGACTGTCCGGGAAACAGGACTTCTTCCAATTGTCTGGGAAGGACATGATGTCGAAGGGCTTCAGTTTCAATATGGATCGTGCGGTTTACGACGAGATACTGGGGTCGACCGCCAAAAAACACACCATAAACCCGAAGAACGTCGCTGACACTGGCGCTCAGGGTGGTGTGCGTCTGCCATCCGCCTCCTCTGCGGATCCTGAATCTGTGGGCGACGGGGACGGTGGTGCAGAGCACGACGACGACGACGACGGGTCCACGAAAGGTTCTTCACAGACGACGGGTGGCGCAGGCGGTTTCGGCAAGAGGAAGAGCACGTGGCAGCAAACTTTTGAGGCAATGACGGAGTGCATGGAGAAGCACGGGGCGTTAATGGCATCAACGATGGAGAGCAACAACAAACGTCATTGTTCCATCGCCGTATGGCAGTGCAGGACTAGAAGCGGAGATCGAAGTGCAGAAAAAGCACTACGCAGCGTCAGACGAAGTCAACAAGCTTATGTGTCACGCCTTGCTGGAGATAGCGAAGGCCATCGGCAAACGTTAGACTTACTGTCGCCTCTGTTGTGCTCTCTGTTCGCTTGCATGGAATTGGACGGCACGAAAGTGATAGTCTTTCCGTCGTCGATGTAGCTTAACTTAGCCATCGTCGTCGTCGTCGATGTGTCGTTCCCCCAATGGCTGTGCTGGCCAGGGAATTGGGTAGTGGTCCGATTCGGTGGATGAGTCCTTCAGTGACATTTGTTTTCGTTTTTTTTTTTTTTTTTTTTTTACATTCTTCGTTTCGTTTGTTGATGGCCTCGATCGTGTGACGGGATGGATGATTCCGTCAACTCTGAATTGTAATTGGCGTCGATGAAGTGCAGTATGCACTTTCCTTTTTTACATGACGACTTCGATTTCGTTCTCTCTCTCTCTCTCTCTCTCTCTCTCTCTCTCTCTCTCTCTCTCTCTTGTTTCTTTGTATCTTTGCCGTAAATGAAATGCAAAGGTGTAATAAAGGTGTTGTCTTTAATGCCGTTCTTTTTCGGAATTTTTGTGTTCAATCAAAATCGCCTCCATCTTTCTCTCCAGCATGTGTTTCGGTGTATTCTCCTGAAATGAAATGCAATCGTGCCATGAAGGTGTTGTCTGTACTGCCGTCCTTTTTTGGGTATGCATTTGCTAACGTTGTGCATACACCCAATTAATCGTCGATTGAGTACAGGTGTGCTTGGGTTCGATCAAAAATCCCCCCACATGTGGATGTCGAGTCATCACAGCTGTACGAAATGCACGTTGTGTTGTGTGTTTTGTGTTGGTTTATTTACCTCTTTTCGTGTTGTGGTAGATAGTCGGGCGGGGTGCTTTTTTTCGGAGTTCGGGAGGGGGAATATTCAACCCGTCCCGGCGAATATGCATGCCATGTT